GTTCGATGGTCAGACACAGTTTTTAGGTGTAGATTCATGCCCAGAACCGTTTAGAATCTATTTGTAGAGTTATACTGTCTAATATTGTTGAACGAAGTTAAGTCGAAGAATGAAGCTTACCGATTATATTAATTAAAATTATTAAAATATATAATTGAGCCAATTTAGTGGATTGTACTAGTATAGTATTATTATACAACCGTCAACACAACAAATTCGTAGTAAATAAACCTGTATTACTGTATTAATACTTGTTTATTATGTATATTTGCTACATGCCAAGCCATAAAGGCAAACTAACGGGATGCTCAACATATGCTTGACACAGGACACACACATAGCACAATCGACCAGGCACTGGGAATAGTACTTACTTAATTACTTATGGAACTGAACCCTTCTTGAGGAGCTGCCAAATCTGCAGCTACTTAAAAGTTTCCCAGCATTTTATGGAACCCGAAGTTTCATTGCCATTTTCACAACAGCCCTCCACTGGCCCCTATCTTGAGCCAGACCAATCCAATCCATACCATCCCATCCTATCTCTCTAAGATCCACTTTAATATTGTCCACCCACCTACGCCTTGGTCTTCTCACTGGTCTCTTTCCTTCTGGCTTTCCCATCAATATCCTGTATGCATTCCTCTTCGCCCCCATTCGTGCTACATTCCCAGCCCATCTCACCTCCCTTGACTTGATCATTTGAATTATACTCGGCGAAGAGAACAAGTTATGAAGCTCTTCATTATGCAGTTTTCTCCAACCTCCTGTCACTTCATCTCTCTTCGGTCCAAATATTCTCAGCACCCTGTTCTCAAACACCCTCAGTCTATGTTCCTCCCTTAATATTAGAGACCAACTTTCACACACGTACAGAACCACAGGCAAAATTATAGTTTTGTATATTCTAACTTTTATGTTTTTGGACAGCAGACGAGAAGACAAAAGGTTCTGGACTGAATGGTAGCAAGCATTACCCGAGTTCAGTCTCCTCGTAATTTCCTCCTGAATCAGGTTTTGATTTGTTATCGTCGTTCCCAAATATCTGAACTGTGCCACATTTTCAAAACATCGGTTTCCTATCTTTATGTCATGATTTTGCCCTGCATTTTGGTGATGAGACAGAAACATATACTTAGTTTTCTGTGTGTTTGCTTCTAGACCAACCTCCTTACTTGCGGCAATTGAAGTTGGTGTGTTTGTAACTAGAAATAGTACACATTGAAGAGAAAGACGAACCACAAAATAAACTTAAACTATTCCACATACTCAATTTAACTAAATAAAGATTACAGATGAATGATACTTTTGCAGATAGACGTAACCCTATATTCAACCTAATAATAAAAACATAGCGATCATAATAAATAAAACACCCCCAAATATACCCCACCACCACCACCACCACCACCACCACCCCTCACCTCCTTTGAACATCACATGACCTATGAAACACACCAACTGTGACATACTGTAGTTAGTACAAACCGTACAAATAAGAACCACAGAAGGAAAGCAACCGCTATCTGATAGCAAAGAGACTTAGTACGAGTACGCTATACAGAACAGAATACAGCATACACGTAAGTAAAATAAATCAAAATTAGATGAAATAACAGATAATACAAAAACGTCAAAGTATCTATTTCCATTAAAAAATAAGTTTATCACCGTCACTCATGGCATTAAAATAAAAAAGAAAGGGAGAAAGACATACACCACTTACATGCGGCAAACTGCCACGTAATAAGTAAGTAACCATTTACACCACACAATATGACTATACGTCACTCAAAATTGTACCATATTAGAACATATGAAATATATTTTTCAGATGCACATAATTAAAAATATCGCAGACTCCCAGAAACCCCCTCTAATCTACGATACAATATCATAGGCCTTCAACAATTTTAATTCAGTTTTAACTTCCAACTGAGTTATGTAGACTAATATTCAAATGTAATGAAACACAAGAATCGTAATGAAATTTATATTAATGATCACTAATATGGATCCACATTAACAATAAAATTCAATACGAGTAGTGCATTATATGAACATTGCCTGATGATGAACCAGCTGGATCGAAACATGTAGTAAAGTGCATAGTAAACGAATACCGATAGTAATATTTATTTATTTATTTATTTATTTATTACGAATTTGTTGTGTTTGCGGTTGTATAATAATACTGTATAGTAATGCAAAGCGGGATGTAAACAGTAAAGTTAACGGATCGTTTTATGTTCAAAAATAATTCTAGGCATACGGAACAGAAATTATACGTATCCAGTATTGGACAAGATAGGGGCTAGCCTACCTATCACTGTACATAGTTTACTTCTTCACCGGCTTTCATTTAGATAACTAGCCAATCAGTGACACAAAACACGAACGGTTTAACAAATTGACGCTCTGTAAGCTTTGAGGCTTTCACGGCGGTGACTATGAAGAAAGCAGTCGTCTGGGATTTGGCACCGCGTATATGTGGTGTTAACCGACGTTTCGGAGGAACGTATCGCCTCCATCTTCAGGGTAGAAAAAAATATAAGATATCTGCAAGCGAAGAGACCGTGAGAACCGGTAAAAGCAGAGTCTGCCAAATCGCAGAAGACTGCTTTCTTCATAAATTGACGCTACTTTAATGTACGGAAACTGGCGATCACTTTTTAAACACAATAATTTTATTATTTTCCGCTTGCAAATAATTAGGTTGCAATAATACCGTAGTTTGAGCCCTTAACACTCAAGTCGATATTAATTTAATTTACTGAAAACTAAAAAAAAGGATAAATGGGACAAAGTCATTAAAACTCTTAGTGAAATGGACGCATCTCGTCATGAATACATTATTAATTACCGTGACAACACAGGTGCATCTGTTTACCGGCATACAAGTGTGTACTGTGAGATAGCATAGTTGACTTTCATGTCTGTTAATGTAAGGTATATTTACTTTAATAAAAAGAATCCTACACTTGAATAAGGTATTATGTTAGAGAAGAACTTGTTGACCTTATCACGTTTTTGTTGTTAATCCTGCGTGTGTCCACAGCGTCAGTTTTCATTTCTCATAATTAATGTATTATAAGTTGCTGAGACTTTGCTGATTGTTCCTGTTAGGTACAGGTCATAGTTCCGAAAACAGTTCGTGTGCCGACGTGACGAAAGTCATTATACTCGTACAGTCATCACAGTAACCATTATATGTTCACGTTGAAGATATTTTCGTTGGAATTAATTACCATAGTTACCCATTTCTTTTCCTTGGCACTACAGCCCCAGTGGGCCTAGGCCTTTCTCCATGAACTTCTCCGTTCACTTCGGCTTTTCTAGATCTTATTCGGTAGGACTCCTTGGGCGAGTGATCAGCTCGTCGCAAGGCTTCTACTTGTCCACAAACACAGAAAAACGCGCACACACAAACTAAACATCCATGCCCTGAGTGGAATTCGAACCCGCGATCCCGGTTTCCAAGCGATCGAAGAGTGTACATGCCTTAGACCGCTCGGCTACCGTGACCGGCATAGTTATCCATTAGCCAACATAAAATGAGGATGTTTGAGAACAGGGTGCTGAGAATATTTGGACCGAAGAGAGATGAAGTGACAGGAGGTTGGAGAAAATTGCATAATGAGGAGGAGTTTCATAACTTGTACTCTTCTCCAAGTATAATTAGAATGATCAAGTCAAGGAGGATGAGGTGGGCAGGGCATGTAGCACGAATGGGGGAGAAGAGGAATGCGTATAGGATATTGGTGGGAAAGCTGAAAGGAAAGAGCCACTGGTAAGGCTAAGGCGGGTGGACAGTATTAAAATGGATCTTAGAGAGATAGGATCGGATTGATCTGGCTCAGCATAGGGACCAGTAGAGGGCTCTTGTGAACACGGTAATGAACCTTCGGGTTCCATAAAATGCTGAGAAATTCTTGAGTAGCTGCAGATTTGGCTTCTCCTCAAGAAGGGCTCTGAGTTCCATAAGTAAGTAAGTAAGTAAATTATCCATTAGCCTAGATTATTATGGCTCTACAGCCCTTTGTTGGGCCTTGGAAGCTTTTCGAGATTCTTGACCCTATACACAGTCGGTAGGACACCTTGGATAGGGATCAGCCCGTTGCGACCTGTACCTAACACAAACACGCAATAAATACAGACATCCATGCCGTGAACGGAATTCGAACCCGCAATACCAGCGTTCGAGCGAGCGAAGACAGTTCATGCCTTAGACCGCGCGGCCACTGTGATAGGCCCATTGACCTATATACACGTGATAACAGAAAAATTGTGAAACATTGATGTTTAAAATTTTAATTTCTAATACTCGTAGTTGGAAACTTTCCCTGAGAAAAGCGTGTTCCCCGAACAGAACTTCTGACGTCACTTATGCAGTAGAAGAGAGCAGACGTTCAGTTGCTGCTAAATCAGTTTCTATTTAATTTATTTTACTGCGCTGTCAGTACAGCAAACGTTCCTCCATCTCCGGGAAGTGTTCCTCGAAATCGACACGATCGGTGAATCCGCGTTGGTCGAACTTAATGAAGGTGACAGCTGAGCTGAATATTTACGCTGTTATATATTATTCTTTCTCATCTGTTCCTGTTGCCCCCACTGGAGCATAGGGCATCTTTGAAACGCTTCGTTTCACTTCATTCTTAATTTTAGACAGTCGGTGGGACTCCTTGGACGAGGGATTAGCCCGTCGCAAGGCCGCTACCTAACACAGGCACAAGGGCCGCGCCATAGCTCAAGCGGTTAGTCGCTGTCTTTCCACCCGGGTCTGGTCAAGTGGGATTTGTGGTGGACAAAGTGGCGCTGGGGCAGGTTTTCTTCGAGTACTTAGGTTTCCCCTGCCAATCTTCATTCCACCAATTGCTCCACAATCACCTTCACCTTTCGTTTGGGGCTGGTACAATAGGCCAGAAGTGGCCGCAGTACCAAGTGGACTTAGTCCCACCCAAGTAAGTAAAAAAAATGTGGATCCAGGTTTGTACTTCGCTCGTTGGGAGACTTAGCTTGGATTTCTTGTAATGAAGTAGCTTATTCATCACTGTATTTGCGGCCGCAAAAAGGTTCGATTGCTTTGTTTAGTTGCTACCCCTGTACCTCAGTTGCCCAATTGACCCGAGAAGAAGTTTTGCGTAGTCATTGATTTAATTTGTGTTCAGCATAACAATTAGTCTGGAGTGGCTTAAGGCCATGGTTAAGCCCACTTTTTGTTTGAAAATATGATACATTATTCATGGAATTTAACTAATGCGTCGTTTTTCTTCTGTTGCAGAAATTCTCTCTCTCTTGTCCTGTCCTGGAGTACACAGACTAGCAGTCAGCAACTTTGGTGTTTCTTAGTTCAAGGTTTGTAATAACAATAACAGCGATTGGTGGCAAAGGAGAAGATTAGTTTTATTAGTGATAGTGATTTTTATGCATAGTTGATTGTGAAAGTCGTATTGTCACAATAGTAATACTAGTAGTTTGCAACGCTTTTGACCTTTGCATAAGGGTTAGAATCGCAAAGTGGTTGTGAACGTTTGCAAATCTTTTTAAGGTGAATATATTTTTTTTATTTTAAATTCCATCATGTTTATAGGCTTTGAAGGTGTCACAGCGGTGGTTTTGAAGATATCTTCTGGGATATAACGCCGTGTAGTTCGTTGAAATTCAGCCGACATTTCGAGAAATATGGCGCCTCCATCTTCAGGCTCGAAGAATAAGCCGAGCAAGATAGCAGCTTGAAAGCAGGTGGCAATCAGAGCACACGGCCGTTGACTTTCAGCGGACTACACGCTTTTAAATCCCAGAAGATAGTACTCCTCATCGTGATTGTTATTATTTTTAGCTCGTAAGATGAACCATCACAAACACTGCCACTCCCTTGCTTCGTAGCTCCCCCTTATCAAATCCCACAGCCCCCCAGGGGACAGTACGGCCCACTTTGAGAACCACTGGTTTAAAGCGTTGAACAGGAACAACGAAAGAAAGAATTCTGTGTTTAGGTATTTAGAACGGAATTCCAAATAAAAATACTTTGAATAGGAATATATCGGCCTTATCGAAGAAATGTTGTCTTATATTTGCCAAAAGAAAATAATAATTGCTTTACTGTCGAACTGATGGCGCCATTAACAAAATGAGAAACAGGGAACTGTGGCGCAAGGGGACAGTCATGTATCACTAGAACGTGGCCCGCATTTTCCCAACTTTACTGTGAACTTCAGTCTGTCCGTAGTGATGAACTTGGTTGTGTGTAGTTATTGTGGTGGTAACCTTGACTTGATATGAAGTTGGCATAATTAACGTCACATAAATTCCTAATAACTCAAGAGCGGAAGTAAGAAGGACGTAAGATTATGCGGGTAGACAAAATGACGGCTTTAAAATAATGCGTTCGCGCAGATATGACCCAACTTACGGGTACCAAAGTCAGTGCAGTGAAACCCTGGTCCGTAGACGGAGATGTTATGACGGACAGAAGAATACTGCCTGCTGGGATATGTTGGCGTGCAATCAGGAGTTCACCGGTGTTTCGTAGGAATATACTGAGTCTATCTTCAGGGTATAACATATGCGTCAAAGTTCAGAAGATGACGTTCTTCGTAATGCCGCGAGGACCTCCAGTCTCACATGCAGTAACGAGCAAGCCCACAAAATGGACTCGACTGCGCTGGATATTTGATACTGTCAACACAAAGAAATCGCTGAATGTCATTTGCAGGCTCCATATTCTCAACGTGGTTTCCGGTTAATCAGCAGGTTGTATGGCTTTCTTTGTGCCTCCGGGTAAATGGTGGTATCTGTCAGTGGAGAGGTAAAGTGGGGGTAAGTTGTAGAGATACTGTATGCTCACAGAGTGAAATGGTGACATCTCTGTTCCAACAGACAGTAAGTAAGCTATCATTTATGAGGACATGACTGCTTTCCCCCCCGACATTGTTTCTGATTTCGTTATTAACATCTCGCCCTCGACGCAATATGACTAGTAGCTGAGAAGGCGTCTCTAAATAAACTAAGAAATGAAATTAGGCATGTGATACCAGTATGCTGTGTGTGTGTCTGTGAATCCCTCCTCTATCAACTTCTGACTGCCTGAACCAATCTTTATTAAATTTCGTATGTATATCATGGCACCTGGGCCCATCTCAACGGCGTACTTCATAAAGCCCTCCCATTAGCCTGTGTGTGTATACACCCTGTCGTTGCTAGGCAACGGCTCGGTAAAAAGGTTATCACGGCAGCGAATACACACGCAACAGTAGAAGAAGCGTTAGACGCGTTGTCTTATACATAGCCGATTAGTCCCTTCAAGAACTTCTTGCTTATGTTGTGTATTTTTAATCTTTTCATGCCCCTTCCCTACTGTTGACGTTAATGTTGCACTGAAGTAAAATTGTGAGGGTTTTTTTTTTCTCTTTTAAAATAATAGTCTAATGCGACTCCATATTATACGCTAGACACGGCCCGTCTCAGCCTCACGATGGCTCTGGCTCCCGTTAGGACTTGACCTGCATTAAGATAATGAACATATTAGAGCCGGCATAGCGACTGGCTAAGGGCTGGACGACCGAGGGGTCGGAGTTCGAGTAGCGATAGGGTCAAGAATTTTCTCTTGTCCCCGTCGTCCAGACCGGCTCTGGGGTCCACCAGACATACACAACGGGTACCGGGGGCTCTTTCCCCGGTGCGTGAAACTGACCACTCACCTCCAGCTAGTACCGAGGTCAATGGAAATGTGGATCTATACATCCACTCCCCCATACGCCTTCATGATGTAATGCCTAATTAGTTAAGCACAGAGACAACTGTACCTTTATCTTATGTATATAGTAGCGTTCCTTCAGCATCACAGCATCGTACGGGAAAGCCATCACTGCTTTGCTGTATAGATGTCTGGCCTGGCAGTACCATGTAAAGTTCATTGATTGGGCCAGGTAACCCGAAGTTGGGAGAAGTGAGTCATGCGGTGTAAACAGTGCAACAGTCTCTCTCTGACGACAAACAGGTTTTCTTTTTTTTTTCTGTTATTTCATTGTGTTATCGCCATCGGTGCTTAGTGTCGTCATGATTTCTGGCCCTGATTTCTGAACTGTTGCCTGAGTCATATAAAGAATTTCACTTCTTCAGCTTTACAGCTAAAAGGCGTCCGGCAGTCAGATATTGAGGGGGCTTCTGCAGGTATCACACGTGTTGATGAGAAATGGTGTGTTGTGATAGTCCAATTACGGTACATATTTGACCTCAGTAACAAGAAAAAGCTATATAGTACAGTTAACGACCTGTCATTTGTTCAGGTAAACGCCTCAGAATGAGCAAGCCACCGAAAGACAATTCTTGTAGAATTTTAAAATTTTACCTATTATGTTAATATTGAGAACCTCGGTACCTGAATCAGTATAGCGATGGGCTGGACGCCCTGGGTTGGATTCCCGGGAGGGATAAGTTTTTTCTCTCCTCCATAACATTCAGACCGGCTCTGGGGCCGACCAATGGGTACCTGGGGCTTTGAGCTACGGGGTGTGAAGCTATATAGAAGTACGTATTTTTTTTTTCCTTGGCACTACAGCCCCAGTGGGCCAAGGCCTACCTCCATGAACTTCTCTGTTCACAGAAGTACGTAATAGCGACGGAAATTGTCTCACAAGAAAGTAAACTTGTTAACATAAGAAAAATCTTAAGAAAAAAAAAAAAAAAATGAGACGCGAATACGAGAAAGTACTGGAACAGGCGAGAGTGAAAAATCCAGGACAGATGAAGAAAGAATACTATAATGCTGATAATTGATATTATTACTATCATAACTAATTTGTATTTTATTACTCTACATAAATTTTTCCAATGACGTACAAAGACGGTTATTATTTCTATTAAGGCTGACAACCTCACCACCATCTGTGAGCCGATTGTCTAGAGAAAATGTGGGAGCCTAGACGTCTCACGACCCTACGGGCCTCCGCGGTCCGTTACAGGGATAGCTTAACTTTAATTTACTACCATAGTCAAATAAGTTCATGGAATGGCCGCAAAGCGTCGTTGCAGTGCATTACAGCGGCCGAATTTTGCTTTGAAGGCAATGTACTTGTACTTCTGTTCTATAAAAATGGGGCTTTGTGGTCACTTGCACATTCTTATTCGGAACTGTACTAAAGGCAAAAGAAGAATGCCCTCAGTTTCTGAACANTTTGTCCGCCACAAATCCCACTTTACCATACCCGGGATCGAACCCGGTCCGCCGCGGTCGGAAGCCAGAGACTAACCGCTTGAGCTATGATCCATGAAACGCTTCGTTTCACTTCAGTTTCTTGATTTAAGACAGTCGGTAGTGGTCGTAGGACTCCTTGGACGGGGTAGCAGCCCTTCGCAAGGCCGCTACCTCACACAAAGCAGAATAAACACACACACCCATGACTTCAGTGGGATTAGAATCCACAATCCCAGTGTTCGAGCGGGCGAAGGCAATTCATGCCTTATACCGCGCGGCCACTGGGATCAGCAGCTTGTATCACTGGTGTTAATTTATAATGATGGGAACCTCTACAAAATTTGAATATGAAAACTTTGTCTTTCTTTTTTTCTCCCTCCCTTTTTTCTTTTTTCATGTTACTGGGCCAGAGATATTTCGTGTAATTTTACACCCAACTTTCTTTCAGCTCTCGTGGTTAATGACACGAGGCTGTTAACTGATCTGTGCAGACTGCATCGAGACGTCTTGACCTGCGCCACGCATTTCTCTCTGGAATTTCTTCGCTTTCTTTGATTAATATTTTCAGTGACAGTGTTTAGAGTTTTACTTACTGAATGGGAAAGTGTACATGATTACATATTCTAATAAGAAAAACAGTCTTTCATTTCAGTTTTTATAGAATTACAGGTCAGCTTACTTGTAATTAGGGTCATTTGTAATTGAAATTTGAGATGCATGTTTCCGGACACATTTTGGCCTACGTTCCTCCAAACACAACAGACACGTGAGTTATAGTTCAGTATATAAGTGTTTCACGCGGTGGCGTAGTTGGTTGAGGAGGTACTATGCTACAAGCCGGAAGGTAGCGGGTTCAAGTCCCGATGAAGTCACCAGATTTTTTCAGTTGTCCTAATCATTCCAGCCGCACTATGGCTCTGGGGTCGACTCAACCTCTAACAGAAATGAGTACAAGGAATATTCTTGGGGTAAAGGGCGGCCGGTGCTTAAGGCTAACAACCTTGCCGCCATCCATGAGCCGATTGTCTAGAAAACGTGGGAACCTCAACATCTCACAACCCTATGGGCCTCCACGGCCTGTTAACAGGGATACCTTTACTTACTTTTTTTTCAGACTACGTAATTCTTTATTTTGGCTTGAGTTGCTTTAGTATAAAAC